ACTGTATTATATAATATATAATAAATATTTTAATTAAATTATATTTTATTATTAAATATTTAATGGACCTGAGCTAATGTGAATTAAAAAATGAATGCATAGTTGTGTTTATTAACTAATAACCACAACAATATTATAATAAAAATAATAATTTATTATTTACAGTATATAGTGCTTTTCTTGACGCTCAAAGCACTTCATATTGATCAGAAGTGACTGAAAAACATTGATTTAAAAAAATTTATAAAATATAAAAATAAATAAATAAATATTTTGTAACAAACTTTGAAAAGGTTTATTCTTTCATAGCTCCAAGAGTGTAACAATTAATTTTTAAGATGAATTTTTATATTTAAAAACTGAATGCCTTAATCTGGGAGATGGTATAAAATCAATGCATATGCATTTAAAAAGTACCAAAAATAAATGAATGCATTGCAAAGTTTCCAAAATCACTTTTAATGTGGCCTCTATAAATTAAATAAAAAGCTCAAATCTGTTAAAAGCGCCGTAGTTGAAGAAACGCGCTGTAATTGTCATCGACATGCCGTAAACGAAGACTGGGACCAGGGCCAAATGCATGAGAGCCGCTGTTTACTGCATACTGTCCATGCAGCACGACTGCATCGCCTCCATCGCACGTACAACCGAGCACAATGTAACCCGATCCGAGGATTCAGCACGTGATGAATGAGCACTGAAGCAGGGTTCATGCAGATGCATGCAGAACGTTCTGTCAGTGTCTCTGAAGCGTGCAAATCTGGCCTGATCGTTGAAAAGCACTGCGATGCCAATACATCCATGCAGTCACAAGCGGGGAAAAGCCTGCAGTTTCTGCACAGCTCTCTCTCTCTCTCCATCAGAAGTCAGACTCGGGTTTCATATGCGCGCTCTGCTGCGAGCTGCTTTTCATGCTCGGAGGAAAACGGAGCGTGCGATTCTCACCTACAGGCGTTCTGGAGGCGGCACAGCCCATGCTCCGGGTAATTAGATGGCGAAACACAAACCATGAACGGATTTAACCCGCATGAATGCTAAGAGACGGCAGAAGTGCTTGCGTAGCCTTCTCTCCGTCTCTCTTCCTCTCCTGCGGTTCTCACAAGCATCCCCTGTGCGCTAGTTTCACAACTCGAGTCCTGCGCTGAAGAGAAACCAGCTGGATGCCGTTTCCCCAAACACATACCAGTGTTTCTCCCAAATGCAAATGGATTAAACTGTTGTGCTCCACATATACAGACTAGATTACATTTCTGCAAACATAAACACACTAAAAACGGTTGTTCACCACAAATATAGACTAAACCAGTTTCTCTCCAAATGCCAACAGATTAAACTGGTTATTCCAGACAC